TATTATTAGATTTACGATAACTAATAACATGAGACTTCTATTCTCGGCGCATTTACCATAAATTTTCATCTGTCATTAATTGGAGCGTGGCGCTGTACGGGTGCAAAACATAGACAGTGGGTGCGGCGGAAAAGGTTAGAAGCGTTCGAAATGTGGTGTTACAGGATTCCGTGGATAGATGAGATTAGAAATGAAGAGGTATTAGTAAAAATAGGAGAACAGAGGACTCTATGGAAGTCAATAAAAAATAGCTGAGATAGGTTAGTAGGACACCTTCCCAGGGATGAAGGTCTACTCAGAGACATATTAGAGGCAGAAACAGGAATTAGGAGGGGTAGAGGTAGACCTGCATTAGATTACTGTTCGCAAATAGTTAAGTATGTTGGCTGTTCTAGTTTTAGGAAATGCGAAGATTAGATCAAGTTAGGAAAGAGTGGAAATGCGTGTTCAACCTGTCTTAGGATTAACGATCTTATAATGATGATGATTAATTGATTAAATGTTAGAATTAAGATCCATGAAATTGTTTTGATTTGTAACGCATAATGTATTATATTATTCTTATTCTAAATTATCACCTTACAAATTAAATTATTCATTATACAATCATTAGTCGTTAATTAAAACTACAACAAAAAAATGTTAACTGTGCACCATGCTAAAAACACGTAATTTTTGATATCTAGACATCAAAGACTTTCTGAAGTTTGTCATGTCAACCTCAAAATCTCCTGTTCATGACAAAATCTTTTGTGCAGCGTGTAATGGAACCACCGAATGATCAAACAGGAGGAAAATCAGACCGAAAAAGTGACGATGAAGATTGCAATCAACCTTCTTGCTTTAAAACAAGCGCTGACGAAACTCCAACAAACGATACTGTATCAGGAAAAACGACCGAAAATAGTGAATCAATGTATAATACTGTAATCCTTAACGGAACTGATGATGCAGAAGCGTTAGCAGAAATTAAAGATAACTTTGAACCCTTGAATCTTGACGAAAATTTTCGCAAATGTAATAAAAATATGGGTATTAATAAGGAATTGTCTCAGTTTGATTTATCACAAGATTGCAGCATCTCCGTCTGCGCTATAGTAAAAACGCTTTCGGAAAGATTCTCAACAGTAAGTATTAATAACCAAAATCCTCTAATTCGCTGCATAGGTACGTACCTAATATCTGCGGATATAATATGAATATAAGGTAGAGACAAATTGGTAAAGGCTAAGAAGATAGAGAATAAGAAACTACAAAAAAATTCCGAAAATTTAATTTAAATTTACTTTAAAAAAATACTGCGAATGCTTTTATAGTTTAACGGTTCTTATCAACCAATAGTATTACAAATATCAAACTTGATAACAGATAAAGATTCGTCAATCTATTTCAACGAAAGCTCAATTATGGCCTTTATTTCAAATTCGACGCCTTCACCAAAATTTTCAATAACAATTGTTAGTAATGCTTGCATATCTTCAAGAATGTGTTATTTTCAACATCAAATATCAAACTTGATAACAGATAAAGATTCGTCAATCTATCTCAATGAAAGCTCAATCATGACCTTTATTTCAAATTGTCCCGACGCCTTCACCAAAATTTTCAATAGGAATTTGCTAGTAGCGCTTGTATGTCTTCATGAATGTGTTATTTTCAGCATCGAATGTCAAACTTGATCGTTTTTATAATACATGCAATCAAAACTGTACAAAAACTCGATACACTATGAGTTGGGAAAAATTAATCAGCAGAAGAACTGTCGATTACAAATTTTCCAATCTTTATTGCACGGACAATTACATACTAATTAATAAAATAACTCAGGATTTTCAGTCTTTGCAGGATTTTCTTTGTGCGAAAAAGATCAAGTGTGTAACAATAAGTAATATTCTTTGTAATGCCCACTACAAACAAAATGAAAGAAAATTTTTGCGAAATATGTAGTCATAAATGTGGAAAAACTCAGCTTTCAACCTGTCCTGCGATCCTGATAAAGGTCCACATAATGCGCTTACAGTACATGGACTACATTCAACAGGAAACAATATAGCATATTGTAATACAGGTTTATCTGTTCATAAACCGAACATCCGCTCCCTTTGTATTTTTTAGGCGGACCTTTGTTTCGCGTAATAAAATGAAATTTGTACAGTGAGGGATTTAGTGAATTTTCAACAAAAAAGTAAAAAGTTTTACTTCAAACGTCAAAAGCCAAAAGGTAACAGGTTAATTAGATAATAGGGGCATAAAATAAGTCTCTAAAAATCTCTTAATTCGTTCAAGAGATTGTACGATGTTCTTTTGGGAAAAAGTAAGTAAACTGGGAGTTACATCTAAACAAATAATTTGTTACTATCTTTGCCTTTCTGAATTGTCCCGATTCATTATTTCAACCACGACAATATTTAACATCTCGCGAGGCCAATATTCGGTAGCTTTATTATTTTACCTAACATACCAAGAAAAACAGATATTGGATGCAGATTACTATTTAGATTTTATTTACTCTTCCAAGTGTTTGTAGGTATTTGTTCTTTATCTACTAATCTACTACTACTTTCCATCAATACTTTTATAAACAATTGACACTAATAATGAGCTAAATTCCGCTAGTCGATTCCGACGTATGGGCACTGAAGTGAGACGAAATAAACATCCGATTCCGATGGGTGTGAGCGTACCTTTACGATAATAACACATTCACGTCTGTATTTATTGTACATGTACGTATGTAGACAAGTATACAAAGGTAATGTAATTATTCAATAGATTGTTTTACAAAAAAAATGCAGAGCACTACCAATACAGTAGCCTTATGATTTGTCATTGAATGTACAAACCGTACCAACTGACGAAAATCCGCACGAGTTCGCAGTTCATATATCGCAAATGATTTGATTGAAACGTTCAGTTGTAATTTATATTATTAGATTTACGATAACAATAATTGATCTGTAACAGTTTTTCACCTAATTGGACACAAAATATCGCGTCTTTTTATGGATATGGTCGAGCCATCAGCAACGAGACTAATTATTGTGAGTACTTATAATAATACGCTTTCAAATGTACTACTAGGCCACACACTTTCATATTTTTAAATAATTTTCTGCGTCTTGACAAGATTTATGATAAATTGTTCTAAAACTATCTTGTTTTTTAGTGAAAAAATCCAAAAATTTTAGGTAAAATTTTATCAAATTTATCTTGAAATTATAAGTTTAGAATCTAAGTAAAATAAAATATAATAGGTACATTGTTATTTTATTGTTTTTGATTTATATTGAATTGAAATTTGCTATCCAATATTAACAGAATATTCTATTAGTTCTTGTAAGTAATAATTTAGTTCAATGTCGTATTTAATTGTACATTAATTGTAAGGACAAACTACCTCAGCAAACTTTAAACTCTAAAAATGAATGAAAAACAAAACAAAAAGAAAATTTCATACAAAAAATATTTTGTTGATAGATTATTTTTTATGGACATTAACTAACTAACTAAAATAAAATTATCTACAACAGCGCTACTTTGAAAAAGAAAACACGGACAGACACACGAGTGATCTTATAAGGGTTCCGTTTTTCATTCGGACGTACGGAACCCCAAAAACGTAAAATGTTCTCACTTACAATTCTAAATCGAATTTCGTATAGATTGCATTAGTTTTCGAATAAATTTAACCCATATCTTCTGAAAGGGAAAACTTTATACTTAAATTTCCAGTGATATCTAAAACATTCTTTCGTGTTTTTCAAAAATTCCGTACCAAAAATAAAAGGCACGACATTTCATAATTATCATCGATTTAAAGGATGATTTTTCAAATTCCATAAATGATATTGAAAATAGAACAAAAACAATAGTACTTATTACTTTTTTGCATTTCTTAGTGGTAGTTTTTGCGGATTCTTATGACAAGTTTTAATGCTTAAATATACTAATATCTCAAAATCGCATATTTTTATAAACCGGCGATATTTTAACTTGAAATTTCCTTCTTAAATAAGATACTAATGAAGTTGTTTATCCGACGTTTCGCCAACACCTGCGGTTAGTATCTTCAAGGAATGTAACAAAGTCGTAATGTCCTTCACTACGATTCTATACTGTGAAACTATAAGGATGTCACCACAATTGTTGACGAAACGTCGGATAAACGACTCCGCCGGTATTCTCATAGAAGGAGGCGAATATTTTCAAATCATTCATCTAGTTGAAATTAGAGCCATTTTTCTCTTTATTTTCCTAATATATTGCCTATTATGATGCGAATATCCGATGCAATTTGTTCCGGAAGAAGTTAAACAGTAGAACGGAAAAGTAGTGGCAAGTAATGTAAATTTGTAATTTATTAAACCTAGCGAGAATGTCGAGTAACGGTTTGTCGCGCCAATTAGCCACCTTTGCTCCAATTAAAACTTGCATACGCGGGATTTGTCTGAATTAATTTGCAACTTAATCGACCAAAAAGCAATGGAGGCAAGAAGCTATTTATCACAAAATAACTGTCAGTATTGCATTATGAAATAACACACACACACACACACATACAAACAACAAGGCACAACAATCGCGGAAGGTCTTTCGTAAGTAAGGGTCACTAACATCGTCTCTCAGTTGTTCAGAAAGCATTTTCACAACACTGATCTTTATGCATCTTGCATGGACAAATTATGAAACAATTATTTCTAAGAATAACAGAGGAAACTGTGACAAGTAAATAAACTAAGAGATACCCAACCGTAATCGTCCCACGGAGAAAATGAAAAAGGAAAATTCACCTAAATATTAAAGCGATATTTACAATTTATCCCACTGGCCTGTTGCTTCGTAAGCGAAAATGATAAAAATTACAATTTGGAACTGAATTTGTAAAAATAAATTCCCAGCAAAAATAAATTTACTAGGTATTTTAGATGATATTACAAATTAAATTGTAATAATTAAGAAACTTGAAATAATTTTTAAAAAAGCATGTCAAAATTGATATTATTACAAGTGACCTAATAAATTCTACTATTTCTACGATAAATTCGGTCATTTACAATCAAAAATTGTAATATTTGCTTTGCCATAAACATTTAGTTTTCTCCGTGCACTTGTGATAGTTAGGGGTGAATATTCGTAAATTACAATATCTAATGAAGCAAATATAATTAACTGGCTTAGGAGGACGGGCGCTACTGTTTAGGAGACATCCGGGATTGCTTTTGTTTAACATACTCGGAAAAATCTTTAAAACTAACCGATTTTTGCAGACTAAGGAAATCCTTAAGAGAAAATAGTGGCCTAAAACATTTGTTAGTTTCAGATTATGAAATATTCCAAATTCAAAGTAATAAACGCATTTCTTAAAATGGTAAAATGCGTCAAAATCCGCCTTAGACACATAATTATATGTGTTCAACAGTTACCATTCTTTCATTATTCTTTCCTTCTTTGACTGGTTTCACCATACCATCGACTTTTATTACGTTTTACCTATGTAGGTACTCGCGGTCTTCTCAGTTTTCTTCACCAGACTCACGCAGTTTGTAAAAGTTGCTAGACGCTATCAGATTTTCCGCAAACGCGACCAGTTCGCCCCTATTCTCACGAATATTTCACGTTAATAAGTGAATTGAAATTGTAATTCGTTTACACAATTTTGCAAACACGGTTTTGTGTATAGTCGGTGTAGTTTTAAACGTATCTAATCAAAAATGTCCCTGATCGCCAAAATTAATGGAATAAGGATAAATGGCACCGGAAATTGCCAACAGAATGGATTCAATAATGGGAATGAATTTGATCTACTAAAGAAAGATTACGTAATGATTTATCTTTTTTGTTTTATTGTATTGATTGATATCGATTTTCAACATATAAAGGTCAAATCTATTCAATACGTAATGATTTTAGTGTTCAATCAGAAAAGTTGGATAATTAAACAAATTACATTTGGGACAAAATTAAATGAATTTTAACATTTATTTTAAATGAGGGTTGATATACCTCCTAGAATTAATTACGGAAGTGTTAAATAAAAAAATATTTGTGCATATTTTGTACTGTTTGAAAAGAAAAACATTTCATACAATGGTATTGTAAATAATATCCTATCGCCTTTGAAAATATATATACCTTTGACTATTGTAAACAAATAAAATTTAAATTTGTATTTGTATATTACACTTTTTTCTCTGCAATATGCCGATTGTAAAATTTAATAAAAATTTTTCAAAATGAATCTGAAAATGAAGGCTTTCTGTAAAACATATTTAAAAAAAACAACATAAACAACCGACATATTTCACCAAATTTGGCAAATGCCTAAAACATATCCGATCGTTCGTTTTGCTGTTATTTTTGTTTTAAAATATTTTTTTCTTGTAGGACGACGGATTCTCTTCAACAAATGGCACAGTGGACACTGCTTTCAAACTGATAAAACCAAATACAACTGGTTTTCATATATGGAAAATCGAGGTGAATATACGATAGTTTATTACTTTACACGTAGTGGACATTAAATACACCTTTTACTGACCGTTTCACTCGAAAACATCCTCATAAACCTTATCATATATCTAAAATACAATAATAACCTACCAACTGTTCCTTATTCATCCAAGGTATGACCTGGGTTGCAGTGAAAAATCCAAAGCTGATAAAATATATCGGAAAATTCCGAGAAAACCTACCCTTAAAGTATAAACTTTCTAAATTACCAAATTTGCTTATTCTTAAACAGGGGTCAACGTTTTGGTACCCTTGCACCCCTAAACAATTAAGTCCTTAAATTTAATGAGATACTACAACTATTAAAGATAATTTCCACAATGAATGTTGAAACGTAAAAATAAAAAGAAAACCTACTCAGAATGATAAAAACTTTAAATAACAATCCTGCTCGTAGTTTATTTATTTTTCTTTTAGAGTACCAAAGTGGTGTCTTTACCAAAAGACCAATACGGAATATTCTACGATACAAACGCCTACATTGTTTACGCTGCTTCAGAGTATGGACAACGTTGTGGCACTGATTCTGTGGTAAGCTACTAAAAAACTAAAAACTTAGAACTATGGTAAAATATATTAATTATCGTTTATAATGAGCAATTAGTCGGCCAGTGCAAGATGAACAAAATTTTCAATACACTACTACTTTCAAATGAATAAATCGTCTTAATAAAGAGCAAAAGAAGTTTTATTTTCGTCGAAGTTTTGTTAGAGAAGCTCTTTAAATGTTAATGCTTCATTAGGACCGAGAAGTCCATAAAGGGACCATAGAATGTCACATTCATTTTTGGCTGGGCGTTTCCGCCACATCGGAGAAGTCAGGAATTGCTGCATACAAAACTGTAGAACTTGACGCCTTTATTGGAGGAATTTCAACCCAGCACAGAGAATTTCAAGAACATGAAAGCCCCAGGTACACACAAATCATAAAAAAGATATCGTAGATACAAATGTGATAATTTCTTTGTAGATTTAAAAGTTACTTTAAAAATGGTATGCGAATTTTGAAACACCCATACGAAGGAGAATTAAATCAAAATTCGGACACGAGACTATTCAAAATCAAATGTAACGCTTTGATAGAACTTGAACGAGTATCGTGGGATCTGATGAATAGCGAAACAGTTTATGCTCTGAATACCGTCAATCATTTATTCTTATGGATAGGAAGATCCTCCAACGCCGTTGACAAAATTCACAGCATCAAGGTAACAAAAACTACAATAACAATAACAACAACTCAATTGTTCTTTGCAAAATAGTGTAAACTGTTTGGTAAGCCGCTCCGACAGTTTTTTAACCTGGGAACCGGATCATTTCCGAATAAATAAGCAACACTAATCGTAAAAGCATGACGAGTTTCGAATACGAAACAAAAAAAATTATGATCATGGGAGAAAGCTGAAAATTACTTTTATACAATAATTTCTTACAATAAACAAATATTATATTACAATTGTATAAAATTCTCCAAAATTATTAGTACAGTTATTTATTCAAAAATGATAATCTAGTACACATGTACACGGAGAAAATGAAAAAGGAAAATTACCTGAATATTAAAGCGATATTTACAATTCATCCCACTAGTCCGTTGCTTCGTAAGCGAAAATAATAAAAATTATAATTTGGACCCGAAATAAAATCCCAGCAGAAATAAATTTACTAGATGTTTTAGTTGATATTACAAATTAAATTGCAATCATTAAGATACTTGTAATAAAGCATGTCAAAATTGAGATTATTACAAGTTACCTAATAAATTCTACTATGTCTACGGCATATTCAGATATTTACAATCGAAAATTGTAATTTTTTCTTTTGCCTTAAAAATTTAGTTTTCTCCGTGCTCTCTGTCAATTCAATGTTCGAAAACAATTCGAATTAGACCGACGATAAATATAAGAAGTACCGTTAGGTACCCTTTTTAAAGGAATTTGCTTCAAATGATAATTTTAAAATTAATCCTAAACTTCATCAAATCACCTAAAACTAAGGCGGTTAATTGGGATTTAAATTCTAATAATATCAGGTTTTATGAATTAAAGTGGAATATTTATTAATCTGCCTAAAATGTTATAAACACGTATGAATATATCCAGGGGTTCCGCGGAATACAGTTTAAGAAACGTTGAATTATACGATTCAAAATCGATTTTCACTATATACAGTGGAATTCGTTTATTATGACTCCGCCTATATTGACCCACCGGTTAATATGAAGTAATTGCAGTGATAAGTTTGGTTTTCATATTAAATTCTGTATAGGAAAGTTTGGATATAATGACTCCGTTTAAAATGGCATATCGTTTATTATTACTGATTCTCAAGAAATCATATCCGGCTATAGTGACCCAAATGATTAATAATAGCATTTTTACTCATTTTGCTGACCCTTCCCATGTATATTGATATTACAATTCATCGTTCTTTTTCTTTTTTGTTAATAAATATGTACAGTCTGTAGTTTTTCTCCTCTATTAAACTAAATAACTAACCAAAATAGAAAGTTATTTATTTTCTTAGACTACACTTAGTATGACGTGTTTGTCATTTTCCATTGATGTCATTATAAGCGAATTCTACTGTATATGTATATATCACCGATTTCCTATTTTTTTTTTTTTGAAGATCGCTAACCAGTTACGCACAGAAAAAAAATGTTACCACATCGTATTTGTGGACGACGGTTACGAACAAACTCTGGACGAAAAGGTCAAAGGTGACTTCAATAAGCACTTACCCCTTAGCAAAAGAACTGTTCAACCACACGAGCCCGCAGAATGTAAGGATAAAGATAAAACGCACGCTAAACATCCTCTGCGGACGTACAAATGCACGGATAATAATGGAAGATACAGGGTGGCCGAAGTTAAAACGGGACCATTGAACCAAAGCGATCTTGATACAAATGTAATTAGTGGAACATTATGCTTTTGATATGAAATTCATTATTATTAATTTTAGGATGTCTACATACTAGACCATGGACGGTATGGAATCTGGGTATGGGTCGGTAAGAAAGCAAAGGAACGGGAAAAGGCAGAGGCACTTAGAAATGCACGGGGATTCGTAAAGAAAAAGAACTACCCTAATTACACAAGGGTCACTAGGGTTCTAGATGGAAACGAACCGTCTGAATTCAAATTTTTGTTTTCCCAGTGGAGAGATAAAAATGATCACACAGGTATACAAAGTAAAAAATTGCAAATTTCAAATAATAAAGAACGTTTTTCAGAATTTTGTTCAAAAGTTCGCTACTCCTTAATTCGTACTGTTTTCTAGAACAATTATACGTTATATTTTGCTAAATTAAAACTAACGAACAATTTTTCAATAATCCTGAAAAAAGTCTATACGATGAAGATTTTCCGAATTAACGAGCCGTGGTCTAGTGAAATTTTTATTTCTTCCAGACGTTTCGTTAGTAACTGCCCCGAACATTTTCAATGGAGTCGGTGGTGGTTGCTTCGTAGTAGTCTTCTCGGTAGTTGAGGATCGTCTGTCCAGAAGAATACTACGAAGCAACCACCACCGACTCCATTGAAAATGTTCGGTGCAGTTTCGAACGAAACGTCTGGAAGAAATAAAAATTCCACTAGACCCCGGCTCGTTAGCCTGGAAAATCTACATCGTATAGTTCACTTAAGATTTGATATGATGTTACAATATTAATTAATTATGTATTAAATTTAAAAACTACAAAAGAAAATACAACGTAAAATTTCACATTAAATAAAATTCTGTTATGGATATTTTTCCTTGGTCATTTTCAAAATCCCGTATAGTATACAAAAATTTCTCAACATGTTTTAGAAAAGACAATGACAAAATTAATTGGGACCAATGTGGATGTCGATTTACTACAAGAGAGGACATCATTGGCCGCGGAATGTCAGCTTTTAGATGACGGCGCTGGGACCATAAAAGCATGGAGAGTGAAGAAACGCGATTTAGTGCAAATAACCAAAGAAAACCAAGGAATATTCGTTTCAGACGGTGCATACATTGTCGTTTATGCATACAATAACAAACGGAGGGGTTGCAAGGACTTAATCATCTATACGTGGATGGTAAAATGGCAAGAAACAACAGGTGCCTTTAAAAAATTTAATTTAATTTTGCATTAGGGTAATGAGGCAAACCAGGAAGACATAGAAGGGGCTTTTATAAATAAAGACGAAATAAATAGGGAATTGGGAGGATCAGCTGTCTTGGTAACCATTACAGAAAATAATGAGCCACCTCATTTTCTGCAAATATTTCAAGGAAAGATGTTAATACTCAAAACACCCAGCGCTAACGGTGACGGTAAAAAATTTTAATTTATTTAATTCATATACTTAATAGCAATTCACAAATAGTATTTACGACTGATACATCAGCGTATAACCCTCATAGACGAGCACTGAGAAGGGTCATTTTTTAAAATTCAACCCTTAAAGGGGTGAAAAAAAGTTCAAAATTTGATGTATCAATCATGGCAAAGCCCAAATCAGCGCAGTCAGGGAGCTTCAAATTTTACACAACGATATGATCCACCATAAAATGAGTTTTCAAAGTATCACCCCAACAGGTGCAAAATGGGGGTAGTTAAGATATATACATATACTCAGTAATCAATTTTGGGGCAAGAGTTTTATGTCTAATTGCATTTAAAAATAATTACTCTTCATATTAAATAAATACCAAAATAACTTAAACTAATTAGATATTATAAATTTCCAAAAAAAATAGGAACACCCTACGGTTTGCGACATTGAATTTGTTTCAAAAATAAATTCATAGTTAGTTTTGAATCGCCCTCTGAGCTGTATATTTACCCAAATGCTTAATTAATTTTTCTAAATAAATTTATTTAATAACGGTCACTAAATTTCTAAACAAGCAGGACTTTCAATCAAATTATTTCTCAAGACTTTTTCGTCTGTAAAGTTATAAAGAATACGCATAATTAGATCTTTGAAGATCGGTAATAACAAATTGTACATATTACAGAGACTATGATTAATTATTTACAAACATCGACAGAACAAAGTTTGCTAGTCTTAAAAAGTTCTGATGAACTATTAAGAAACGTGCTTGAGACTCAACTATTATTAATGGTAACCTTTCATCATTAATTTGATTAGACCATACCCTGTCATTACATATAAATAAGAATAATTAAAAATATAACGATACCATTCGCCAGAATCACTCATTGTAATATCCTCTTTGAACGCACTAACACTCATCATTATTCATTAATGTCCGATAATTAATAAACTTTAAAATACGTAAATTGTTTAACATCAAAATTTAAAAGCACAATCTCAATCTTTTACACAAAAATGACTAAAACAACCGACATACAAACTACAGATAGGAATGCCGAAAAAAAACTACGAAATGAAACGATTTGCTTGTCCTTCATCGGCACATGGCAAATCATAAAAAGTGAAAGGAAGAGCAAACAAAGCACAACTTTAGTTGTAAACAACGTAAAGGCATTACTCAAGCTGGCATAATATTAATTGTAAAATGAACAGGTGGAAAGCTTCAATAATATTCTACGTATTTAGAGCTTCGAGAAAAATATTTAGTCAAATATATTGAAAACAGAAATAATATGACCAGCAAAACAATGTGGTACTTATCAAGAAAAAGCCGAGAAATAATTTAATTATAAATACAGGATTGTCCCAAAATCTGTACCTATGTAAATTCTGTTCAAATCTATTAAATTATATTTATACATTTACCGTTTTTTGGGCCAAATCAATTAATATTAACTAAATTGAAAATTAATTTTAAAGATGTTCCAAAACATATAAATTGTACATGTACATTTAGATTTGTATTGATACTAGATGATTTATTTAATTTAGATCAATTTTAGGTCGATCCAGTCCATTATGTAACACATACTTATTACAAGTATTTGGATCTACCAAATACACAAGCAAAGCTGTCCAAGTACCGATGGCATCAAGTTCTTTGGATTCAAATTATTGTTACATACTAAAGCAACTCAAAAACGTTTATATTTGGTGTGGAATTTATTCCACAGGCGATCAGAGAGAAATGGCCAAGGGTTTTGCCGGTAAAAGTTTCGAAATTGTTCTTGAAAGTAAGTAGTATATTTTTTCGGTTTTGTAAAGACTTGATCCACCCAGTATTTCCCAGAAAGTTTCTGTTTCTTTTTCTGAAAATGTGTCGCATTATAGCATGATTTAATAAATTTAAAATATACTACTTACTTTCAAGAACAATTTCGAAACTTTTACCGGCAAAACCCTTGGCCATTTCTCTCTGATCGCCTGTGGAATAAATTCCACACCAAATATAAACGTTTTTGAGTTGCTTTAGTATGTAACAATAATTTGAATCCAAAGAACTTGATGCCATCGGTACTTGGACAGCTTTGCTTGTGTATTTGGTAGATCCAAATACTTGTAATAAGTATGTGTTACATAATGGACTGGATCGACCTAAAATTGATCTAAATTAAATAAATCATCTAGTATCAATACAAATCTAAATGTACATGTACAATTTATATGTTTTGGAACATCTTTAAAATTAATTTTCAATTTAGTTAATATTAATTGATTTGGCCCAAAAAACGGTAAATGTATAAATATAATTTAATAGATTTGAACAGAATTTACATAGGTACAGATTTTGGGACAATCCTGTATTTATAATTAAATTATTTCTCGGCTTTTTCTTGATAAGTACCACATTGTTTTGCTGGTCATATTATTTCTGTTTTCAATATATTTGACTAAATATTTTTCTCGAAGCTCTAAATACGTAGAATATTATTGAAGCTTTCCACCTGTTNAGTTTGCTAGTCTTAAAAAGTTCTGATGAACTATTAAGAAACGTGCTTGAGACTCAACTATTATTAATGGTAACCTTTCATCATTAATTTGATTAGACCATACCCTGTCATTACATATAAATAAGAATAATTAAAAATATAACGATACCATTCGCCAGAATCACTCATTGTAATATCCTCTTTGAACGCACTAACACTCATCATTATTCATTAATGTCCGATAATTAATAAACTTTAAAATACGTAAATTGTTTAACATCAAAATTTAAAAGCACAATCTCAATCTTTTACACAAAAATGACTAAAACAACCGACATACAAACTACAGATAGGAATGCCGAAAAAAAACTACGAAATGAAACGATTTGCTTGTCCTTCATCGGCACATGGCAAATCATAAAAAGTGAAAGGAAGAGCAAACAAAGCACAACTTTAGTTGTAAACAACGTAAAGGCATTACTCAAGCTGGCATAATATTAATTGTAAAATGAACAGGTGGAAAGCTTCAATAATATTCTACGTATTTAGAGCTTCGAGAAAAATATTTAGTCAAATATATTGAAAACAGAAATAATATGACCAGCAAAACAATGTGGTACTTATCAAGAAAAAGCCGAGAAATAATTTAATTATAAATACAGGATTGTCCCAAAATCTGTACCTATGTAAATTCTGTTCAAATCTATTAAATTATATTTATACATTTACCGTTTTTTGGGCCAAATCAATTAATATTAACTAAATTGAAAATTAATTTTAAAGATGTTCCAAAACATATAAATTGTACATGTACATTTAGATTTGTATTGATACTAGATGATTTATTTAATTTAGATCAATTTTAGGTCGATCCAGTCCATTATGTAACACATACTTATTACAAGTATTTGGATCTACCAAATACACAAGCAAAGCTGTCCAAGTACCGATGGCATCAAGTTCTTTGGATTCAAATTATTGTTACATACTAAAGCAACTCAAAAACGTTTATATTTGGTGTGGAATTTATTCCACAGGCGATCAGAGAGAAATGGCCAAGGGTTTTGCCGGTAAAAGTTTCGAAATTGTTCTTGAAAGTAAGTAGTATATTTTAAATTTATTAAATCATGCTATAATGCGACACATTTTCAGAAAAAGAAACAGAAACTTTCTGGGAAATACTGGGTGGATCAAGTCTTTACAAAACCGAAAAAATATCAACCGATGTATATTCTTGTAGACCCGCAAAGTTATATCGATGTTATTGGGATTCTTTGCCACTTAAAGGTAATAACAACAAAAGCCCACGTATGTACTAAAGGATTTCGAAACTTTTACATTAACAAACGTATAATCAGAAATTCATTATCAAAAATATGTCAATTAATATATTTATGCACTAGAGGTATTTCATTTTCAGCTGAAGAAATTTTCAACTTTACTCAGTCTGATTTATTGTCAGAACACGTACTGTTATTAGACGCGTACTCTGCGGTCTTCCTGTGGCTTGGAAAATTGAGCAGTAAAAGAAAAGATACATTTTATATGAAAAACATCTTAGAACATCTAAAGCAGGGTAATTATAAAGTAATTCAATCCACTCTTACTTACTAATCTTTAATATTTTTCTTCAGAAGGAACTTACAGAAATATAAACATTCCAATAATTCAAGTCTTACAGGGAAACGAGCCAATTATTTTTACGGGATTTTTCAAAACTTGGAATGATTCTTTTTGGGATGTAAGTTTTTCTAGACCTTTACAATAGAATTGTAGATATGATTTTCTTTTAATTATACTAGTTCTTCCCCCCTATCAGTCACTGTGAGCTCGAAATTGTTAGCACCATTGCTTCGAGTGGTCGAAATTCACTTTTGTGAATATTTTTTTTAATCATTTTCTTTGTGTTAAAAATTGTTTGAAAAACGTTTTTATTCTAATTATTTATATTCATACGCTTGAAAGCATTAACATCAGTGACAACAATAGTTAGAGAGCAATAGTTGGACTTTGCCATAATTATATATACATAT